GTTGGCGGCGGCGTGCCACGTGGTGCGTGTGCGGTGTGAGTGATGGCAGGGCTTTTTTGAATTTATGTGGATATAGTGGCGCCGAACGTTGTTCGCAGTGTACTTATTCAAGTGATTGTATTGTGCGTTAATGATAATGTTTAGCTTTTATTTGTAGCTTGCTCCGTGTTTATTCAAATGACGAGGCGGTAGGTACTCGGTGAAATTTGAAGTCTGGAGTGAGGATGACAACACAGCATTGCACCATGGAAACGAAAGCAAGTGAACTGCGGAATAACATCTGGTTGGAGATAATCGACGGTTAATTATCATTGCTGAAATGCGAGCAACTTCTCACTGTGAATGGACCCGATGTGTTTCGGTGAGTTTTCATTGGATTTCTCCGTAAATATAGAGCCCATATTTTTTTTTTGTACTTTATAGTTTGTTGCTGTATACAAGATAGGAATGCCATTGTATGCGATATGCCTGTTTGAACCAATAAATGTAAGAATATGTCGACACCTTTTTTGGCATCCAATGGACACTCTCGTAACACCTTTAAGGGTGTGTACCAAACTGCACCTCGCTGGGGTGTCAGACGGGTGTCACTTTTGACACCAATACAGGTGTCATTAGGAATCAAACACCGGGTGTCTGACACCCTTTTGGGTGTGCACCCAAAAGGGTATCAGACACCTAAAAGGGTGTCAGACACCCGGTGTTTCATTCCCAATGACACCTGTATTGGTGTCAAAAGTGACACCCGTCTGACACCCCAGCGAGGTGCAGTTTGGTACACACCCTTAAAGGTGTTCCAGGGGAATAATTTTTTTTCTCAGTGTAGGCATCAAAGCTTTGAGTAATAAATAACTGTTTTCTCTTTATGCAGCATTCACGTTCATCTGCTTTGCATGCAGAGCAGGGCGCAAAAAATGTACCGCATCACGGCCGGCTTTCCCAATGGAATTTTCACTGCTCACTAATACTAATAGTAATAATTCAAGTTTTGTGCTTCATTAGTTTTTGTTCGGATATCACTGCCCACCTTGTAGTTGTAGATAGGGTAGACCGGGGCAAGTCGCCCCGCCGAGGTAAAACGCCTCACCGATGTTTCTCGGAACTGGCAAGGTTCTGGGGAAACATCCTCTCTTCTATAAAACGTGCACTATACGATCATTATATGAGCAGACTGGAAATAAATTGTGATGACTCTTTAGGGAGATATAGCCAAAAATGTGTTTTTGGAGTGATTTTTATGTTTTGTTGTCAGATTATGCAGCATGGCGTTCTTTTATCGTCCACATCAGGTTAAAGACTTTTATGTATTTTGAACAACTATTGTCTAACGCTTATAATGCCGGGTTGGTTCGTGTCAAATGATGTCTTCCTGGAGTGCAAGGCGTTGTTCTCTGACCGAACTACGTGATGGGGTAAAACGCCCCAGTAGGTCGCGGGGCAAAAAGCCCCATGGGGCGTTTTACCTCATGTGTTGTTCGGACTACCCACTTCCTAATGCTCGGTAGCTGGCGAACGGTATGTTTCTTTGCATTTATATGTACTTTTCTCAGCAACTGGATGGCAAAGGAAGTATTTTGTTAACATTTGCATTGCAATAATTTATTATTTGGCCTTATGAGGCAGGTGAAAAACCTGCTCATACAATAGTGTCGTAGCTGAACACCTGATAGGATGGAAGGTGCTAACTTCATTGCCATGCCTCCCAAGGTCTAACGGACCTTTCATATACATAAGATTTAGTCAACTAGCATGTTTAATCTTTAATCTAGAGTATGGGGCTTCTTGCCCCAGGCCGTGGGGCGTTTTGCCCTGGGGTTGGGGCAAAACGCCCTATTTGCAGTTGCTTCACAAACCACTTCCTAGCTGGGAGTCCGGTCAAAAGTGAATGAATTTGAGGGGTGGAATTTAAAGTAAAATGTCCAAAGAACGCATTGAGCACAAATTTGGCCTTCCAGGTTATGTGGGACAAAAGTTATGTAGCAAAATAAATTATCTGGGGCGTCTTGCCCCAGGCTACCCTATTGCAGTTTTGTAGCGCCGTCGTTTCTCTACATACACGGCCACATAAAGAACTTTGGAATTGCTCGTTAACTGTAGGTTTTGTGAGCGTTTAAAAATTTCATGTTTTTTGCTCATTTTTGCTCGAACAGTTTGACATCAATTACTCCTGACCTAAGGTGACCTATGACTTGAAATTTTGTGTGAAGGTTTCAAATTGATGCCCGGTAAGGTACTAAAAATTTGGCGGCGCTGCGCGCCGCCGTTTTTCGCTTTTCAAGAAAACCCACATGGGGGCCAAAATGACCCCCAATCAGGGCGCGGGTTAACCTCTTTCTTTAGAAAGGCGTTACTTAATGTTTGGCCGGGGTATACTACTTATTGATACTACTGATAGGTTGATACTACTGATTGGCATTTGCATGGGCGCAGTCAAGTTGGGACCTCCCCCGCCCCTAACAGCCAAGGTAGGTGCGTATATTTTTTTAGCAAAATTATTTTTTGGCAACCTTCCAAAATAAAGTGGCTGAAATCCGGGAAAGAATAGAATTTGGGGGTAGGTAAGGTTCTGCGGGCTCCATCCTAACGAAAACCTAATGGCATTGCCGCCCGCTCCCCCCTTTCAGATGCCCCTGGATCCGCCTTTGCCCCGAACTTTATTCCCCCTCTCAACTTTTCCTGTAAAAGTAACCCTGCCTATAATATGTAGTTAGTCCGAACCTTTTGAATGGAAGGATTCACAAGGTCAGAGCCCCCGCTAATCTGAGCTTGCTGCGTTGGCCGTGCCCTCCACCCTCCGATCGCGCAATTCCTGGTCTATGGCAGTCCAAAGTTTAACGTACGCACATAGCCGTGCACGGCCGGTCCCCCCTAGGTACTGACTACGGCTGGCTACGGCCTTCCACCAACCGCAGCCATACCTGTCAAGAGGTTCATAGACATCGAGCGCCCGTCGCGCCTCGAACCCGGACTTTTGTAACGGGGACGCGTGCTCTCGCCATAGTGTCCACTCTCTACCGACTGAGCCACGGGACCGGCCGTACCTGGCAGCTTGGATCGCGGCGTGTCCCGGAAGGATGAGGACATAATCCTGTCGATGGGCCCGCCCTCTCGGCTCGCCTCGGGGCACGGCCGTGTCGGTCGGGGACGGTGTTGGCCACCCGGAACCCGGGCTCATTACAGCGGTCGGCAGCCAAACAGAGCGCGCCACTGCTTACACTGCTCACTATCAACATCGGCCGAGGGCAGAGCGCCGGGCGAGGAGCGGGCAGAGTGCCGGAGGAGCCCGGTCGCACGGCACTACAGCGAGCGGGCGGCCCGAGCCTACCTGAGAGCAGAACACCCGCGGCGGCCAGACGGAATGGCGCTTACCGATTATTCGTGCGACATGGTAAACTCCATGCTTTTAGGATATTAGTTAGAACACATTTTTAGCCCGCGCCCCGTAGGGCTACCGGCGGACCCTACCACCCGTGGGGGGGGGGGGGGGCCGTTTCGGCCCCCCTAAGATCTCGGAAAGTTACCGGCCGATTTTCAAAATTCAAACGGCGTTTGATAGCCCTACCCGGGAACTACCTTGTGACCAAATTTCATTGACCTAGGTCAAACCGATGACGTCACAGGTCAGGTCAAAGGTCAGATTTTCACCGTTCACAGGCAATTCAAGAAATGTGCTGTGAAATCGAGTAAATTGGTAATTTATTGAAAACCATCGATGGTATATTGTTCGTCAAACACATACTTTGCTATCTGAGGTCACTGATACCAGGTCAGGTCACAGCGAGGTCAGGTCACCGGGGGTCACAATATGAATGTGTCGTGTGATACGTTTTATGGTCCATTTTACATGACAAATGCGATTATGTGGGTTAGGCAGCCTTTGGGGCCAGCCTAGGTCACGTTTTGGTGAAGGTCAGGTCAAGGTCAGGTCAAATTAGGTCAAATTTCAAAGTTTATATTTTTGCATAAAATGGGTATCCATTCGATGCAGCTCGTCACGGGGAGTCTAATGGTGGTCTTTGTTTTGCTCTACGAGTTCTAGAATTGCCAAAAATTGAGTTTGAAAATTTGACGTCATCATTTTTGAACAGTTTTTTCGCTATAACTTGGCCAAAAAACGAGGTATCGATCTGAAATTTGGTATGTAGATAGAAGACGGTAGGTACTATCACATATATTCCGGTTTTTTTCGAAAATCAAAAAACTTTTTGGATTTTTTGGCTAATATATAAAAAAAATGCTTTTTTGATTTTTGGGGATCAAAACTCAAAAATTTCAAAAATCCGAGATAGCAGTTTTGTAGCCCTGTCAATTCTACACCTTTTATGTCCTGATCATTTTTCTGTATCTTCAAAGCTGTATGCCTGACAGGTCTTCTCGCGAAGGTCTTTTTTCGGTCGAAAATGACAGAACATGACGTCACTCTGACGTCATTTGTGGCCAACCTATCACAGCCTCTGGAAAAAATTTTGGTCACAATGTGTAAAATTGATGCCCGGAGGGATCCTGAAAGTTTGGTGGCGATATCTCCAGCCGTTTAGGAGATATCGACCGAAAAGGACAGGGGGGGGGGGCGTTTCGGCCCCCCCCTACGGGGAGCGGGTTAGAAATAAAACTCGGTTTAGTAAGTTATTTTTCAGAAATTGAATTAGCTGGTAGAAAAGAAGCAGGTATCCTGTCGATGGGGAAAAGAAGCAGCGATTTCAAATGCAAATGGCTCTGAACGTAAATCCTATGCTCCGTTAGCCCTCTCACATTCCACAATGCCCTGACGTGGGATGTCCATGGCATTCAGTCGTTACACAAGCTATTTGTATCTGCCCGCCACTATTTATTTGCCGCCGAGTTCTCAGGCTGTCGGGCGCGTACAAGCCCCACCTGGCTGGCCCAGCGAATTCCAAACATGTCCTGTCTGTTTGGGGTTCGCCCACTGGGTACCCGTAGGCACCCGGTGACACGGCGGCGGCGGCGGACAATATTATTGGGGACGCGCGGCGACTGACCTTTCTCGGGCTTGGTCTGCAGCAGCATGTGGGAGGAGACGGGCAGGGAGGGCGGCGGCCGCGGGGCCGCCACGGAGGTCAGCTGCCGGCCTTGCGCCGACATGGAGCCCATCATCTCCGGCATACCGCTGTCGGCGGAACGGGGACGGTCAGAGGTCACTGCGAGATAGACACCGTCAGTCGTCACAAGGAGACAAAGTCAGACACAGTCAGAGACACAGTCAGAGACACAGTCAAAGGTCACTGCGTGACACCGTGAGACATCATATACCTAGCGAGACAAAGTCAAAAACACTCACAGTCAGAGGTCACGGTCAAAGGTCACGGTCAGAGGTCACGGAAAGAGGTCTCAGCGAGCACGATCAGAGGAGAGGTCACAGGAAAACACTGCCCGAGGTCACAGAGAGACACCTACTCAGAGGTCATGACAGGGCTTTTCAGAGGAGAGATCATAAGCGGACTGTGGAGACTGCCCCAGGCTACAAGCGGTCAGAGTTCGTGGACGTGCATGGAGGACATATGAATGCATTGGTATGTTCACGACCAAGTGTAAGAAGTAGGTAAGCACCTAACCTTTCGGTACTTAAACGTTATCACCCTTTTCACCAGATCATCTCCGAACTTTCCATCTGCAAGGGAAGGTTAACCTTTATTGTTTACCTTCCTACCTGTAGGAGACTCCTCGCACATCACACGCAAGTTACACAGTTTTAGCCGCACATCACAGGCATACCGGTGGCCCATCCCACGCACATCATTGGCACATAGCACGCGGGCTGCCCCCGTCTGACGACCCGCTCTCTGGGGAGGTGGGGTAGATCTGTAAGCCGAGCCGCTCTGTGTCGGCGGGCCGTAACGGAGACGCACGCCGCGCCGAGGAGAGGGGGAGAGAGAGAGAGAGAGAGAGGGAATAGGTAACATCCGGCGGTGGCCCGATACAGCACCGACCGGCTGGAGGACGACAACTAGCGGGGAGAGATAACGGGGCGTAACGAGCTCCGAATGAATTAAAATTGAATGTTTTTTTTTTTAATGCCTGCTTAAAAGCTGCAATTGAGTTGAGGCTCTTGTACCTAAGTCCCAATTTATAACTTCGTAAAATGGCAGAAGGAAATCATTGGAGAGTTACGTTGCGTGCGTAAGCCAAAACGAAGCTCTACTTACACGTCATCCGGATCTCCGCAGTCGCGAAAGCCCTTGGCGAACGGGTTGCTGGCGATTTTCAGCTGGGTTACCTGCGGGTGAGCCAGAGCCAGTGAGACAAACAAAAGTAGTTGAAATCGACCGTCACCGGCGCCCCCGGGATGTAGATCCGGGGACCAGTTCACTGTCCCATCTGCTATCGCAGAGGTGGTTATGCCTGTGAAACGTGGGCGGATAAGGGTCTGCAGTGTCGCCGCAGCGATTTTGACGAAAATTATCAGCGGCACAGTTTACAGTCGTGTCGCGGGCGGGTCGGGCCGAGCGTCGTTGTGTCTGTGAGCCTGTCAGACCGCGGATGCTGACTCAGCCCTTCCAGCACCGCTGGACCGGCTGACTCCCCCACTACCCCTCCCCGCTGCCAGCCGAGCCCACCCCCGGGTGGGCCTGACCATAATTATTTACCTCGCCAGCCTGTCAGCGGCTCAGCACCGATACCGTCTGCCATTCTTACATTGCCATTTATTAGCCGGTGCGGCGACCGCAAGCTCAGCTGATTGCAGTGACGTCAGAAGGGGTTCGGACACGAAATGACCACTCTCTTACTGCCGACACAGTCGATTTTACTCGATATTAGCTCAGTCATCGCGGCCATTGCGAGTTGTCAGTGTCTCTCATAAGTAATTTAAATCAACACCGATGGCCTGGGCCTTATCAAATCCAGACGGCGATGATGGGTTTAAGCTCGGGTCTAATGAGTTTTAGCGCGGGGGGCTGATGGCTCAAAGCTGCGAGCTGATAGGTTTGCGCTCATTCTAGTCTCTAAAACTCTGATAATCATTTCATATTAATGGAGAACATCGAATCAGCGCCCGCCGCTGTCGCACGCGGGCTCTCGGGCGCGTATCGCAGCGGCGACGGGCCGCCGTCCGGGCCGTCACAGCCGTGACGGATGAGCGCCGCTCGCCGGCGGTGGGTCGCGTCACGCCCGTCACGCCGGAGATGGATGACGGCGTGACGTCACGCCGGGGCGCCGCGGAGGGTCCGCCGAGGTGTGACAGGACCGCGCGAGGTGTGACAGGACCGCCGCGGGCGGATACTGCACGATGTAACTACTACAGGGCCTCTAATTTCTAAGCAAGCTCATTGCTACAGGTAGACAATTCCAGGGGGATTTGTTGGTTTTCATGCTAAGCACTTTGAGGTGACATCTTACATCACAGCCAAACAAAATGATGAGGGTATGAAATGACCAGAGAAGTAGGTAAATCCGGAAAAGACGGTTATGTCATCCGACGACACATTTGGTGCTTCCAACGTGTCTAGATATTTGACCATGGCTGGTGTTACGTTTATTTGTGTCTCTTGGCTTATAACGGCGAAGTAAAATGGCTACCTAGTAGGTACCTATATGAGCGGTGTTTGGTGACTACTTTATGGTAGTATGCTAACGCTAGATACGAGGGCTGAGGGTTTACCTAATCGTGAGACTTACCCTTTGGTTTTGGTAGGCCGTTACCGCCATGAACTTCGTTTCCGAGAAGACGAATGTCTTGAAGTTCTGGTATTTGCCCTGTTCCTCTTCCTTTTTGGGATTGTAGATCACATGGAATCGGGGCTGATACCGATGCATCGAGTTCAAGATGATCTGAAAGGCATCCCGACACCCATTCACGGCCCATCAAGCAATCCAAACCGGCTCTAGCCTCGTCACACACCGTGCAGCGTACAAACGCCGAACGTAATCGGCTGATCGGCGCGGGTCATACATCATTGACACAGGCCCGGATCGGCAGTAAATACGGCGCGGCGCACTCTGAGACAATCGTCCCGTCGGCGGCGGCGGCCGTCGTTCGGTCGTGCAGTCGATTGCACGCGTCACCGAAGGGTGACCGCCGCCGAGCGACCTCCCCGCCGCGGCGCGGACGCCTTGTATAGGCACGGCTCGACCCGTGACTCACGGCATCGGCACACCGCCCCCGTATATGGTAAAGGCTTTTCGCGGCGGCCCGATAACTGATGTGAACGGAAGGTCTTCTACAATTATACGGGAACCTCTTGCACTTTCTTTGTAGTTTATGGGTAAGAAAGAATGGTCCGATGCTTTAATTCGCCCGATAGATATTTCCACACGCTGTAGATATTTTACCCTATCCTTCAACCTATCATTATCTGTGTACTAGCTATCCTACATAAAACATGTCAATTAACCCGTCATCCGCGATGTTTCACACGTCACCCTCTCTTATCACCTAAAACCACCCACCCGCCACCCTCTAATGGCCGCTGACTGCCTCTCTCCACTCACGTAGCCGTTGTTGTCGTAGGGGTTGTTGGTCAGCTTCAGTTTGTCGAACGAGATGACCTGTTTCATCCAGTGCGAGCCGTCCGACGGACTGTCGGGGTGCATGTGAATCCGGGACGGCGCGTGCGCGTCCGCCTTGCCGGCGATCACCCAGCTCGAGCTGAGGGGGAGGGGAGGGTCGGTCACCGGGGGAGGGGTGATCGCGACAGGGTCATTAGTCAGTCGGTACCCGTTACCTCCATGATGCAGCTCACTGACCTCCGCAGACCAAACATCTGTCAATGAAACCCACTGATAAATAGCCGTGGGCGCTGTGGTTGCAGGGACGTGCGTCTGCTGCCGGGGTCGCATTGATCAAAGTTGTGTCCTTGATAATACATATGCAAGTGAAAATTAAAATTCAATCATTAATTGATATTATGATTTACCTATGATTTCCAAATATTTATGGTTACCCATCCAGTCCCGTCGCAGACGATTTAGATAGAACATGAACGCATGAGCGTTGCCGATGTAACACCCACTTGTAAAGCCTCAATGATACCTACAGAAGTTACAGGTCACAAAATACAAAGCTATCGCAATTGACTTCAATCTTCATGTTGTTCATATCAAAGAAGACCCACGCTCGATAAATTAGGCAGAGCGCACTCACCTATGAAAGGCGTACCGATATCTCTTGTCGTCCACGGGTACGAAGTCCATCTGGAGCATATAGGCCTCTAGCTGGTGCATGCCGTATAACCGAATTTGAAAGACTGGGAACATGCGCCTGTGGGGAAACGCAGCCCAAACGTTAGAACTGAACTGTGCCATCAATGAAAAGAGGTATATACCTTACCAGCGGATGGCTATTTTCGTGAGGTAATGCTCATTTATGTTGAACTGAGCCGTCTCGCATTCTTGACACTTCAGGGACATTTGCCCTCTTGCCAGCCCCACTGCACATGACAACAGCCTAGCTCGTGATCGATCGGGCGGGACGGCTGTCTCCAAGCAGCCGTGACGTTGATAACCTTAACGGTTCGGGCTGGCTCGATAAATAATCCAGCACCGCCGCCGCATGCACCAGTCACACCGAGGATGCACGATCATATCGAGACCACAGTGATCGGCCAATATCGGCAGCAACGGCTCACATAGATGACGCGATCTCTCTCTCTCTCTCTCTCTCTCTCTCTCTCTCTCTCTCTCTCTCTCTCTCTCTCTCTCTCTCTTCTCTCTCTCTCCTCTCTCTCTCTCTCTCTCTCTCTCTCTCTCTCTCTCTCTCTCTCTCTCCTCTCTCTCTCTCTCTCTCTCTCTCTCTCCTCTCCCTCTGACGGCTCACCTGCCGGCCTTGGTGACTATCATTTCTGTGGTGAGCTCGTTGAACTGCTGCCACTGCTCCTTCATCTCCAGCACGGCCGACACGGAGGCCAGCTTGGGGTGCAGCGGCAGCTGTTTGCCCGCCTCCCCGCCCACCCCCGCCGCCGCTGACCGGTCGTCGTTGCGGTCCGAGGTGACGGCGGTGTTACCGTTGACGTCTCCGGCGGATAGTTTGTCGGCGTCGGCCCGACTGTAGGCGCACTGGTACAGCTGCCGGTACGGGTCGGCGCAGTCCAACCGCGCCCGGTCGCCGCTCAGGAAACACGCTGAAACAGAGGCATAAGGGGTTCATATTTATTTCACCAATAAGCTAGACTTTTTTAAATCAGAAGCAATTATTAACCTGTTCCTGATTTTTCATATTTATCATTAAAGATATGAATGCATATACAAAGTTTTAAAACGATACGATAGAGACAGTAACTGATCGTTGTGTAGTTTATGCATTAGGTATCAGATGTGCATTTATCAGCTACATTTATCCAGTTGAATTACGGCAAATTATTTTTTACTTTTGCTCGTTTTAAAATTTTCCTCCATGTTGTCAGTTGCGTGGTTGATGCTTGTGACCACACACTTTTCTTCTAGATGGTAGCATTGCTGCCTACTTCATCAAACATGACGTCATAATGCACCATTTCTCCAGCACGAGTGTCGCCATTTTTCTTCTACCAACAAATGGCTCTGCTTGCCTACAATATTGCTCAGCTTAGCGAGCTGCTCGGCGCGTGTTTTGCAGCCGCCCCGGACAATCTGTTTCTCCCCGCGGGCCACCATTAGTAGAGTGTGACAGCGCCATCCCTCCGGTGACCCTTCCATCGCGTCTGCCAAAATAGTCCGGGCAAATTACGGCGGCTTCTCGGGCCGGGGTCTGGCGCCGGCCGGCGCCGCTCCTCTCCGAGCCTCCTCCCGTGAGCAGCGGCCGCCTCTAGGTCCCGCCGCACACCACCAGCTAGTGCAAATCGACTTCAATTGCCCAGAACTAACATCACATTTCACGGCGCGGCTCATTTGTTTCTGCCAGCGCTTGACGGAGTCAACAGTCATTTCTCACCGTCGGCGACAGCCGCTATGAGGCCATAAGTCGGCTGTCGGGCCGGGCCGGGCCGGTCGGCCGTCGGACCGGACCGGTCCGGACCGGTCCGAGACGGGACGTTCCCTACAGGTGTCCTCCGGTGGCGCTCCGCCCTCCTCCCCCGCCAGCGCGGCGGCTCCCCTCGCGGCGCTGACGGACACGCCGCCGCCGATGACGACGTTGGCAGCTGGGCGCAGGCGTGCGGCCGTCATCGGTCACCGCCGCCGGGGGGGGGGGGGAGGAGCGCCCCCTCAAAACATCGCCCCTGTCCTGTCACCCGGCCGCGGCAGTCCTAAATCTCCGCCGCCCCAATAAGCGTCAAAGGAAGCGGAGTCGTGAGCGCCAGCGACACACGCCGAAGGGGGTGGGGTGCACCGGGGTGGCGGAGAGCCTCCCAACGTCACTGGCCAGCATCGGGTACCTCAACTGCGCGCGCTCGCCGCTGATACTAGCTGCTACCCTGCTCTACATGCCGTTGACCATATATGTCCACCGACGTCCGATATCATGATGTGTTTTGAAATGCTGGTGCATTAAAAACAGTGCCGGGGTTTCGATACACTTAGGACTAAGTTCTTAATTTACCGCTCACCATCTATCGCCAGTCCATGAGGACCATCAGAAATTCCTTACAATGGTACTTTCCACCACCGCCGACCGCCGAGGGTACCGTACTCAGAATGTCCCGAGTACCCACCGCTGGCGGCCGCGGGCCGGGTACGTACCGTCAGAATCCCGTGTGTACCGCTCGCGGCCGCGGGCCGGGTACGTATCGTCAGAATCCCGTGTGTACCGCTAGCGGCCGCTGGCCGGGTACCGTCAAGATCCCGTGTGTACCGCTCGCGGCCGCCGCTGTCGTGCCGGGTGTTCCGGGAGCATTCCACCTGTCTCCCGGTTATTAATTAGCGCTCGGACGTGTGATGCATCGCGCCAGCGGCACTGCCGCATTTATCATCGCCAGTGAGTAATTCGACGCCATAAGCATCTTCGAGCTAATTGTGGCGAAATCGACTCCGTACGCGCTGTTTCAGTGTCCTGGGCTGGTGAGTAAGGGTGGTGCGGATTCGGCTGCGGTGGGCCGCGGCGAACTGTCTGCTCCGGCCAGAGATGTGTGAGATTAGCGTGATTCAGCTTCCACGAACCCAGATGCCACTCCCCGGGTCTCGAGGATACGTCCTTCGGATGTAAACGTAAACACGAGCGCGTGAAATACGAGGCAACTCTTTAGCGGGAGGAGAAAAATGTCGAGCACTATGGCGCGATCGTTATTTAATGCCGCACTGGAGGGCTCATAACAAACAGATGTAATGGCCCAGCAATTTCTTGTTGCATTACGGACTATATTTCTCTGGCAATGATATGTTGGGATGGGACGGCGGCAGGTTATTTTCTGAGCAGCCTCTACCTTGCATTCGTAAATGCGTTGGAAGATAAAACAATTTGGTCTGTCTAAATATCTATAAAGTGATCACAAAATAACATTACATGACAATATAAGCGTGCCTTTCACGTAGACATAAATAAATGCTTCAATAAAAGACTTCAAGAAAATAATTGCAGGTCTTGCGTCATAGAAGTAAGAAGTTAATAGCAAAGTCCTTCAAAAGCATTTAATGTTATTGTTACCGCTTGTGAACTGAAATCTTGACTTGCCGTGAATATTGTATCGAGAGTACATGAACCTCCAGGCTCCACGAATCAAACTATTAAAACAGTTACATTAAAGGCGTACCGGTTTCGTCTATTGACTTCTTCAGCGCCGTTGTATGAAACAAGGGCGGTTTCATACAACGGCGCTGAAGAAGTCAATAGACGAAACCGGCACGCCTTTAATGTAACTGTTTTAATTGTTTGATTCGTGGAGCCTGGAGGTTCATGTACTCTCGATACAATACTTGTCCATTTATAACTACAATTGCCGTAAATAGTTTTCTTGACGTTAAGATACTAGAAAGGCAGATCTAAACAATAAACATGTCTGCGTTCAGCTTAAGTGGTTAGAGAACATGTCCATCGTACCAGTTTTGACTTTTTCCTTGCATCGAACCTGGTACAAATAAGAAATAAACGCAGCGTTCTAAGCAAAATAGCACTGATATACGAGCGTCAGAATAACGCTGAATGATTCGCAGTAGCTTTCATCAATCAACCAATGCTAGGGATATTGCTTTTAACTTCAAGTTCAAGTTCTTCGTTTTCTATCTGCTTTACGTTGAAATAAATGTCCGAAGCAAGAGAATTTGTCACAGTGGATATTACAAAATAAATTGAACGTTGAGAAGGACGTACTCTCTTCGGCCTTTCAAAAATAAACTTGACGCAGTGAAACACGCTAAATGCTGTCTCCAAGGACATGTGCCCCATACCATTTATGTCTTATACGGCACTCTTCGACATTGAAGAGGCCCATGCTCCATAGCTGCTAAGACACGTCCTCTATGACGCGAATCTCATGTTTGAGCTGTGCAAGCTACGCCTTCCTGGACTGTGGACACTGGACATGTGTAGAGATTGCAATCCCGGAACGTTTTGCCAATCCCGGGATCCCGAAAGTTTTTATTTCGGGATCCCGGGATCCCGGGATCCCGGCATCGTCACTAAATGTCGTAAGAGTGATTTCCTACGGACATATTTTGCGTCTTTAAGCTCACCACAAACAAAGAGACAACCAAAAGCCATCCTTAGACCATGTCATTTGCATTAAAAACGATTGAATTTGCGAATAAAACGTTTCGATTTGATTAGCATTAGCATTTATTCCCAATTGGCCTTCATAAAACTGTGCGTCGACCAAATCGTTTACTAGACAGGTTCCAGCACATCCACGCCTCACTCACTCTTCGTCTACGCTACTCGTAGTTAGCGCGACAGTTTTAAGCCATTGCCATGTTGGTCTACTTAAATCGCAACCAGTGTACGCCAACTTTGGCAGCTCCCTATTTCACAGTGTTTTCAAAACGTCGCTTGGTCACTTTACCTCCTTTCGGTTCCGCTTTCATCATTAATGTCTCGCAGAATTTGCTCGAAAGTCGCTTTGAGAGCAGAATCACTGACTGGGAGAGCTCCACTCTACCGTATTCAACGTCTAAATCAGTGAGCTCTGCCGTCACTTGCGTGACATCTGTGACATCTTTCTGCGACACGAGCTCAAAGACTGTCTTGATGACCTCCTTTGTTCCGGCCACGGACGGGCAAGTCAGAATCGCTGAACGATCTGTTATCCTGATAAAGATGTTGCAGCGCTAATGCTGCATTTTTTTTTTTGGGGGGGGGGGGGGCTTTCGGGACCTTTTTTCGTACGTATTTAAGCGGCTTAACCGCTGTGTGTGGGTGATACCCGAGAGCTACCAACACGGTCGATTGTAGACGGCCAATACGGGGTGCCAGCTAAATAGTTTATCTGCTTTATGTCACGCAGCACAATAAACAGTGTAAACAAGACTCGTGCAGCGGCTGCATTCTTTTTAAGGTGAAAACTGATTCTTTTCGGGATCCCGGGATTGGCGGAATTTCGGGATCGGGATCGGGATTAAAATCCCGCCGGGATCCCGGGATCCCGATCCCGGGATTGCAATCTCTAGACATGTGTCCCGAACGATGCAAAGGTTTGTGGGTCGCAAACCCATAAGCTTTGTTGTTACAATTTGTAATCTGATGTAACAGTCCACGTCAGATCTGCGGCCTGAAGAACGTAAGCACATTCCGCTGCCCTGGTCTGGTCTGGTCTGGGCGCCGGCAGACAGAGAGGGGCCGACGACCCGGCCGGTCATCCGCCACTCCCAGTGCCGCGGCCACTCCCCGGCGCACGCCGCGCCGCGCCGCGCCGCGCGCACACAGCTTGCGTCAGCTGAGCCACGATCGTCGCCGGCCGTAAATTCGGGGGTCCGGTCCCCCCCCCCCCGCGCCGAGGCCGCCAAGTCTGGCTTTCCGTTTATGTAGCCGGGGGCCAATGTGATTTATGAGAAAGATTCCATGAGCTCGTCGTCAGCGTAACACTGGTGGTGACCTCAGCGGGCGGTTCTGTCGTAAATATCGCACGTGATGTATGTTATACACGCGCAGGGCGCAGCCGACGACCGCTCAGAGGTCGAGAGACATCGGACTGGCGAGGGTGGGCCGTGACCTGATGGCTGCTGCCGATATATTTTGCCCTGCGCCGCTGCCTCATGAAAGTGTAGCGCTGGTCATTTG